TAAGGAGATGCCAGGCGGATCTGCTTGCTGAGGGGCACACAGAGTGCCCCCCTGTGAAAGCAGGCGTGGGAAAGAGCAGCCGACGGGGTCCTGAAGGGGTTGGCCATTTGCGACCTGTAGAACCCAAGGGCACAGCCCAGTTTGACCTGCTATGGACAGACCTGTGATCCCCAGTGGGTCAGCCCTGCCTATGCCCCTGGAATAGCCAGTGCCCCCGCCAAGGGTTGGGCGCTGTTCCTGCTGCAGCTATGTCTGTCTGTCCATCCGTCTGTCCGTCTAAGCCCCCCCGTGCTTTCTGCCCCTCCCTGCAGCTGACCCCTTCCCTGTGCTCCAGCTGTCAGCCCCTGTGCCATCCTCACCTGGACCCTCTCTTCCCCTCCACAGATCAACAACAAAGCCTGCGGCCAGATCCCTGTGCCACAGCAGGTGGCCAGAGACCAGGACCGGGTCCAAGAGCTGGTTCTGCAGAGCGAGCTGGGCGCCCGGCTGCTGCGCGGGCGGAGCATCCAGAAGGCCTTTCTGTCCCCCAGGACAGCCCTCATCAACTTCCTGGTGCAGGAGTGACAGCGGGCGATCCTGGGTTGGGGCACTCAGCTTTGTTCTGGACAGGCTGGAGTCATGAGGCTGCAGGGCGAGACCCAGCATAGGGAGAAGGTGAGCGGACGTGGCAGTGCCCCAGCCCCGAGCCCTGCCTGGGAGGCACAGCCGCCCAGCCCCAGGTGAAGACACAGGAGGGTACAGGACGGAGCAGCACGGGGCTGGGCAAGTGCCCGGGGCTCCAGGTCCTGTGGTGGTGCCCCTTGCTGTGTCCCCAGAGCTGAGGTAGCCTGAAGAACCTTGCTGCTCAGGAGCGGTGTGCTTGCCACTGTGACCCACCAGGAGCTTCTCGGGCAGCCAGCGGTGTCCCCGCCTCCCAGCTACTGAAAACAGCTGTCAGGGTCAGTCAGTGTCCAGGGCGTGGCTGTGCACCCAGGACCAGAAGACATGCCGCTGATCCACACACCAGGGGTGCCGGCACTGCCGCCACCTGCTCACAGGCCTCTCCTCCCGCCCCAGCTGGACGCCAGCTGACCAGACACGGACACGCAGCAGACGCTAGAAAGAGCCTCGCTGCTCCCAGGGCCGTCCCAGCCACTGCCAGGCAGTGACATTGGCTGCACAAAGAGGTGGAACTAGCTGCTGCCCAGTGCCAGCCCAAAGGACTGGGCCCCCGATACAGTGCCCACACCATCCACATGGCCCCAGAGCCAAGTATGACAGTGAGTGTGCAGCTGCCGGCTGTCACCTCCAGTGTCCAAGCCACTGCAGAGTGGCTGCTGGGGACAGCCAGGAACAAACTCCACTCTAGGAAGAGGCCAGTTCTGGTCTCACGTGCCGTTGGCAACAAGGTGCTCTTACCGGAACTGCCTAAGCCACTGGCGCATCTTTGCTGGACGGCCTGGGGCGGGGTGGAGGTGGTGTCAGGTCTGCCGGACCTCTGCTGTTCTGTTCTCTGAAGCAGTGCTGCTGCAGTGCCCAGAGCCCAACAGTAGGCACCGTGCTTGGGGAGCTATGGTCTCAGGATCACCGTCCTCCGTCTGCTCTAGGGGCTGCTCGGGGACTCACGGAGCCCCCCAGCACCATCAGAAGTGTGGGCAAAAAAAAGACCACACTGGCTTTGGGCTGGGGAGATGGCTTAGTGGAAAAAGTGCTTTCCTGGCAAGCACAAGGTCGTGAGTTCAATCCCCAGGTACCACCAAAAAAAGCATGGGCTGCAGCTGCCCCTCAGGAGCATCACAGGGAGCTGGGGATCATCTGCCGCTCCACAGGGATACCTGAGCCCTGGGTTCTTCACACGGGCTCGAGCGCAGTGCCATGCCCATCCCCGGAAATGTGGGATTGTAGTTTATTTGGGCTGGAATGTGGCTTGGGCAGCAGGAGCCCTGAAACCTCTGCAGGCGGGGCTGGGGTGTCGCTGCGTGTGCCCGGGCCCAGGTCTGATCCCTGTACCTCACATAAATCTCCATGTGGTCCTTGTGGGCAGTGGAACCCAAGGAGCCCTGGATCCAGGGTGCCTTGCAGCCCAACCCAGGACCGAGACCTGATTAGGTGTTGCAAAGGAGTGGACCAGAAGGGAAGCCAGGCCCAGGACCCCAAGGTGGGCCGCACAGTGTTCCGTGAGCCAACCTGGGCAGACAGTCACCTTGCATGTGGGAGCAGAGGCGGATTAAGGAGAAATAAATGTGGGTGTTTGGCATGAAGAGAAGAAGATGGTGTTTTTCTTGATTGTCTTTTCATAGGGCGAGTATCACGGTTGCGCCCAGCCATCCCCTTCCCCAGTGCCCATGTGGCCAATTGCCGTGTCTGCCACACCCATTGCCACGGTGAGGGGAGCCCTGGGCAGGCTTCAGGAAAGGGCAGCAGCAGTACCTGCTGCGGGCGCAGGGCCTTGGTAGAGGGCAAAGCCCAGGGCCGGGGTCCTGGGTCCTGCCCAGCCCCGGAAGCCCCGGCTCATGGGGTGACCAGTTTATTTCTGGTTGGGGACATGATTCTGAGGAGGGGGGTGTGCAAGGCTGAGGCTGCCTCAGCAGAAGTCTTCTGGAGAATGCAGAGCTGAGGGCCAGGATGGTGAGTGGGCGGCGTGGCCAACACGGGCCAAGAAATCGAGCCGGGGAGCTGGCTCAGTGGAATAAGCGCTTGCCTGGCAAGCGCAAGGGCCCAAATTCAATCCCCAATTCTGCCAAAAGAAAAAGAAATCCGCGCGGTGGGAGGAAGGGGCTACAGCACCTGGGCTTCAGTTGTTTGGTTTCTTGTGCTACTGGGTCAATCCCAGGGTGGCTCTCCCACGAGCTACATCCCCAGCCATCACCCTCAATTTTAAGTTTTGAGAACAGCAGGACTTGAACTTTGGATCCTGCAGCCTCGGCCTCCCAAAGTGCACTGCTGTGCCTGGCTTAAAAGTAGGTTTTCAAAAATGTAATAGAGGGGCCAGGGAGATGGCTCAGTGGAATAAGCGCTTGCCTGGCAAATGCAAGGGCCTGAGTTCACTCCCTGGTTCCACAAGACAAAACAAAAAAACCCAAAAACATAATGAGAAAAAACCTTAGGGAAATTTTTCTCATGAATAAAACGACACACATACAATGGATCCCAACCATAATTTTTAAAAGATTTCAGCCCTCTACAGAGGAAGACGATGGGAGGAAATTTGCCCCTGGATCTCTGGCGAGGCCTTAAAGTCATTCCTGCCTCCATTTACTTTCTACATTTTCTAGTGTGTACAGGCCACACATAGGCCAGGGACAGGGAGACATCGGGACACTTTTGAAGGCTTTGGTGGCCTGAGAATGTCTCAAGTGGTCTCTTCTCCCCCCAGCTGGGGTGTCTGACCTGGGCCTCTCCTGTGTGGAGTACGGAGAAATACAAAGCAGCACCTCAGAGAAGCAGCCTTGCCTGGCTGTGCGGCCTGGGCAGATGGTAGCTGTGCTGCAGAGCCCTGGGGTCTTGCAGCCGCAACAGGAGAAGGATGTCCCTACAGGAACTCCCAGATCCCAGGGTGGCCATCAAAGCCTGGAAGACCCAACCGGAAGCTGGAGCGCCTGGCTGGTATGGGGGAGGGAGGTGACCCTCTGGACCCCGCATGAAGTGACGTCACATCGGCCTCCAGGCTGCGTCAGCACAGGTCAGTGCGCCTCACGCCAGACCCTCACGCCAGACCATCACCTGGTACAGCCCAGGTGATGCAAGACCTCCAAATGACAAAGGGAAAGTGAGTGGCACGCCAACCTCCCAGATGCCCGATACGCCGAGTTTGTGCTCCCTGAAATCAGAGAATGAATTCTAAGGTGCAGTGGGGCTGAAGATTGGGAAATTGTATTGAGGGAAAGGTGGCTCCTGCGAGACGGGAGAGGGCTGGAGTGGCGTGGCAGCGAGCCAGCTTCTCGGAAGGCTGATGGAGCAACCTCACAAGGGAGTGTAAGTCACAAGTGAGCACCGTGTGGGACAAGTGATCAGCAGGATCACACAGGTGACGCTGAGTCTGAGGAAGCGTCCTGGCACGCCTGTGCACAGGCAGAACAAGGAGCTTGCCTGGGAGAGAGGGTCAGGCGGGCCTGCTCACCCACCAGGTGATGGTGTCTGTCGGGACCTCAGTGGCCAGGTGGTACCGACTGGTCCATTGCCTATCTCCTGGGGAGGCATGCAGGCCTGGTCAGTCCATCCTTGTCTTGAGGCCTGGCATTTGACATGTGCGCCTCTGGCCGCCGCTGTGAAACGTTCTCACTTCTGCGCTGCCTCCCTCAAGGGCCGGGCCTGCTGACTGCCTAGAACGTTTCTGCCTAACTCAGAGGTCTGTAACGCAGGTTCACACTCCAGGGAGAAGAGCAAATAGAAAGCAGCTGTTCGGTGGGCAGAGGGTGGGCTGCCACGGCCTTGTCCACGCCGACTGCGGGGGAGGTGGAGGCTGGGGTGACCCCCTGCGAGATGCGGGGCTCCTCAGGAAATTGGGTGTGTGGGTGGAGGCCAGGGAGACTAACCTCAGCCCTGGCCGCCCCCGTGGCGGAAGAGTGGACCCCGCAGCAGGTTACTCCACTGTAACTGCAGCAGCTAACTTGTGACTCACACCTGTGTGTCTGCGAGTATCCTGTTGTCAAAGGACCAAGCTCTGAAAACGTCTGCATTATCAGCTGGCTGAGGATGGGTGTGCTAATGCGGACAGCACGGTCCATCCACAGCCCATCTTGCATTCTGGCAGTGGCAGGGCCAGCCCTCTTCCCTGGGACTCAAACTGGGGGTCAGGTGCCCGATCAAAGCCCCGGATTCAGGACGGCTGAGCCCTGTCTTAGTCACTCCTGTCCTTCTTTGGAGACCCAGACAGAGGCGCTGGGCTGGGGCGCACCTCCCTAACGGTCCAGAAGTCTGATGTGCGTGTGCGCGTGCATGCCTGGGGGGGCATGTGAGTGTGCGTGTGCACGTGTGCGCCTTTTCGACTATCCAGTGGTCTTGCTAGCATTTTCCTGTTCATGCCACATGAACACGCTTAGACCTCCCCTGAGCGTCTTCCTGCCATCTGTTGATGTTGCGAGGCACGTGCTGGGTGCATGGGGCACATTCCCAGGGAGGAGATGACTAGAGGGAGCAAGAGGCCTTGGCCTTCCTCTTGCCCTTCATCCCGGCAGCCTGCCCTCCTGCATCGCCGTGCTCTCCCATGGCTCCTAGCCTGGGGACGGGGCTGCGAGGAGCCAAGCCCAAATGCAAGTCTCACCTGCTCCTTCCCGGTCCTTAGACTGCTCCCTCTTGGCGAGCAGTGGGACAGTGCCCATTTGCCAACCAAAGGCTCTAAGAAAGTGGTTGGGGCTTGGGGGTTCGCGCAGTCACTACGAACCGGTGCGCAGAGCCTGTCCAGTGCCCGTTTGCCTCTCCAGGAAGTGCGAGCGATCGGCTCCCCTCACATTTGGGCTGGACGCCCGCAGGCCAACAGTGACTTGGCTCTCCCGCGTTCCCCATAGACGCTGGCTGGTCCTCTGCTAGGTTTTCCAAGCCCCACCAAGGAGCACAACTTCCTGAGAGGGTCTGAGCACACCATCCCCTGCGGGTGGAGCCTGCAGCCCTGCACGACCGCAGGGAGTAGCTGTATGAAGAGAGCGAGCCAGGAAGGACTTATGGGGGCTTACGGGGAGGCGGGGAGCCCAGGCGATGGGGACATGGCAAGCCGGCCGGGCGCGTCCTGTGGTCGTGAGACCTGCCTGCCGTGGCCACAGCGCCTGTGCAGAGCCCTGGCAGGGATGGCCTGGAGCTGCCACGGGAAGGACAGCAGCCACTGGGCACAAGACCACTGTTCTCTGGCCTTTGCAGTGCCTGCCCTGATGCGGGACACATCTCTAGAGCACTTCTTTTTCGTTTTTTATTCCTCTTTCACCTTTAATAAGCAGTAAGCTTACTGCAGCGGGTTGCCAACTGGTGGTCCACTTGTTACTCCCAGCTGAACTGAGCCAGCGTGGTGCTGGGTGTGGGAGGCCACCTGAGGGTCATTGCCAGCAGCATAAGAGGCAGAACTGGAGAAGGACAGAGGCTGTCAGAGAAGCTGTTGGAGCTGCTGGGAGCTGCTGGTTCTTCTGGGCTCTTCTGCTGGGGGACCTTGTCATACTGGTTTTCCTGGTGACCTTCGTTATTCTCTTTGTGGGTGGAGCTTGGAATCTTACCGCTGAGAATGGCTGCGGTTTTTTTTTTTTTTTTTTTTTTTCGATACCAAGGATTGAACTCAGGACTTTGTGTTTCGCAGGCAAGTGCCTATTCTACTGACCTATCTCCCTGGCCCCAGCTCTTTGTTCTTGCTTCCTTCCTCTCCCTGCTACTTCAGCTCTTCTCTTTCTCAGTCTTTTCTTCTGGACACCAGACACTATGGTTCAACTCTCTGTGCTCAGTGATGGCTATCCAACACACATTCTCTCAGCTTTCTGTCCGTGTTCTTTCTTCCTTCCTGTTTTTCCTTAAGCCTCTCCTCAGTATCAATGATGCCATTTTTGTAATTTCAGGTCTTTCTCTACATTTTTTCCCCCTGAGAATTAGTCTCAGAAAATACGTTATTCACTACCTACACCTCATTTTTTTTGTTATAGGTCTGTTCCCACTTGAGAGAAAGAAGGTCCTTCAATTCAGTATTTTTATTTTTTTCTTTTCAATTTATGAAAAGCATCAATTTTATACATTCTACATTTTTAGCTCTTT